TGAACCTGTTTAGCCAAGCAACATCAAGTAGGTCCTTATATGTGGGTTACAGTTAAACTATGATGAACATTGAGAAACAAGGAGTCTGACTTTGAGATTGCAAATTCATATTTCAAGAAAATACTAAACACAGTTGTGAATAACTAATGTATGCTCAACGACTAAACGCAAGTTTATTTATTTTTCTGATAATCAACAACTATATCTCCTTCATAGAAATTAAGAACCTATTTAAGAACCCACTTAGCTTAAATTGCTAATAACTACCCCAAAATACAAGGACCTATTTTGCCAGAGTTAAAAAAATGCAGGTGTTTACTGTACCAGAAATGATACATGTAAGATAGTTACCGTGCATCATGCCCCCTACCCGACCCCAAAATAAAGAACGGCCATTTAAGTCGAGAAAGTAATTCATTTCTGGGTATAAAATGATCTCAAATATTAATTGTTTACATACTACAAGAAGCTTTAGCGGACGCCAATAATTGATATGTGTGTGTGTGTTCCAGCAGAACGCACCGGAACTGAGCTGGCTTTGAAGCGATGTACTTAATTACTCTGAGGCAGATCGTTTTCGTCATGTGGCTTGTGGTGGCTTGTGAAAGTGTTTGTCCACCCCTATGTACCTGTTCGCCTTTTCGCAAGACACGTATCAGAGTTAAATGTAATACTACTGGGCAGATACCAAGTGATATTCCATTTAACACGGTGAAGCTGTAAGTTCCGTGCAAAACCTCCTTTGCGAATGCTTCTTGACCGGTTGTCGCTTTACATGTGATGTTCATGCTTCTCCCTTTAGAGATCTCTCTGGGTGCCATTTGAACTCCATTTCACAAGAATCTTTTGGAAATCTCAATTCGCTAAAAGTTCTGTAAGTAAAATTATAACCAAAGCGTTAATTTACGATATCTATAGTTCTATTTATAACTATTATTATTATTATTTTTTAAAATTAGAAAATGATTTTAAGATCTTAACGAGAGCCATATAATAAACTTCTTGTTAACTTTTGCAACTTAGTAACTTAACTACACATAAGGTTCGCCCTTTGTCCCAGTAAGGCGAAGTTCGCACGCACCAAAGAGTCTTCGGGGGCATTACTGGGGTCAGGGTCCTTGCACTCGATTAATACGATTAAATAAATATAGACTATGCCCGTGGCTGGTCGATAAATTGAATATAATGCAGTATAATCTTCAAACTATACCCAAAGCTTCCATGCAATTTTTCTTTCAGAGGCCTCTTGAGGAACTTGCTGAAGATTATTCCAGAAGACACTTTCCGGAATATGACGTCACTAGAGATGATGTAAAAGCTTTATGTTATGCTTCTTTGTTTCCAAAACACAGTTGACTCAATGAATTGTTTTTTTTTTGTCTTTGGCCACAATATGTAAACCTTGCATTAAAAATTTGACAAGATATCTGTTTCATGCGAAATCAAAATGATGTCAAAATTAACTTGGAGTCAATGAGAGATAATATAATAATAATAATATATCGTAATTGACCACTCCCCTAATAGGGCTTTTCAGGGCCACTGAAACCAAATGTTGAAACGAATATTGCAAATGAACATAACGTGGTTAAAAATCCCAACTGGCGGGAGGCAGACCAGTTGTCTATGTAGAAGCATGACCGAGGAGTTGAACTAGGATCTACCGAGAAGCAACTCCAGCTTAGTGGTCAGATCGGGACTTGTACCCGCGACCTCCGGATTTCAAGTCCGGCGCCCTAACCATTCGGCCACTCTGCCTCCTATAGAGAGGACTATTGTGAGTCACAATTTAACACGAAATTAAAGCCATCTTTCTGATATCTTTCTGATAAACAGCAGAACAAGAGCTATTTTCTTATACATAAACAGTAACTTAATTAATTACGAATTGTTTTTATCAGTTGTCATCGACAGCAAGGCGCAAGGTAAGTCGTAAAGTTACAACCAGATCTATATCTCTACTCAGTTGTCGTGTACAAAATCTTCACATATAATGTGAATAATGTTAAGATGACTTCTGCAGAACATTCGAGCAATAATGGCAAAAATTGAGTTACCTAAGAAACCTCATGGAATGATAATATTTTGTCTGCAGTTAACAATAACTTATCGAGAAGTTAGCTCAAACTGACCCCGTGAGGGGAAAATTGAGCTTGAAGTTAACCATGTTAAAACGGACGTTTCGCATTAATTAAAAACACGGTAACACACGCTTTAAGGACCGCCGCTCAAAACAGTTTCCAGCACTTTCCAAGACTCAGCTTTTGATGGGTCATTATAATCATTCTTTATCAGTTGATGCTACAATCATGGTATCAAAAAAAATCTGTCCATGGGGTTCGGAGCCACCTTAAATTTTCGAATATTTAAGGTGGCTCGGAACCCCATCGATATATATATATATATATATATATATATATATATATATATATATATATTTAAAACTTAACCAAAAAATGCATCTCTTCGTGCTCATCAAAATTTGATAACATAAAAAAATTTCACCGCGCCGTTTTTGCACCTTTTTGGTTCTCTATGGTTTCAATTCCCTTTTTGCTGTTTTTGTTTCTTGTTTTTAATCAGAAATCTGGAAAGCAACTTCATTAAAGGAGGATTTCACCTTCCAGAAAGCGTGAAAAACATGTGAGTGTCTGCCAAGTTGCAAATACATGAATCTCTCAGTTACTACGCGCACTGTGATTGGTCAACCTGGCGGGTCGTACGCTACAATTTAAAGCTTTTTTTGTTACCAAAATGTTTTGTGACTTATCCCCAGGCGTTCTTAACTTTTCTAGCAATTAAAAGTTAAAATCTCTATTTTACTTTAAATTGCGTATCAAAACGTGCTAACAACTTAACAACGATTTTAAATTGGCTCGTTTTGCCTTCTACGTGTGTCAAAAATTCGAAGCTATTCCGCGTGAATATAAATCGTTCCCGAACCCAATAGAGATATCGTAAATATCTAGCCTTAATAACCTGGCCTTCTCGGTCCGTACTGTAAGTTACGGATCCTCAGTTTTCCACTTACTATTTATGGCCCGCGCGCTTCACGATTGGACCATAAATCGACCGTGAAAAAACTCGGTCCGTAACTTACAGTACGGACCGAGATGACGAGGTTAGTAAGGAGTATGTATTTTTTCCAATACAGTCTCAAAATAAACATGTATGCACTTTATTTCCAAAGCCTGTGAATAAACATAGAGCCTCGTTTGCAAAGTATTATTATTTAAAACGTGCAATTGTCAAGATTTCCAGTGAAGAAAGAGCTCAATTGACTGTAAGCTGACGAGTCCAAATACCACCATTCTCCCTCGCCGTTTTTACATTCGTTTCAGACCTTTCGTTCGAATATTGACCGTCGCCCGCATTCGCAAAAAAAATACGACTGTTTTGCAGTCTATGGTATGTTTTGATTTCGTTTCACAGCAGAGCTGTTTTCTGCACTCTCAGCTATCTTTTTGTTCGGCCGGGCCTTCGTTTGTTTTGTGCTTGTTTGGCTGTTCATCATTTGGGCGTTTATTCGGTTTTAGGAAGTTTAATTCAACAAACTTTAACCGGCGGCAACAGAAACGAGTACAAGGCTGTGTAAGCGTGCGTTATAATTCTTTGTTCATTTTTTTTTTTATCGTTGTTTACAAAAGGTCACCAAACAACAACGTTAAATAGCCACATTCTACATATTCGAGAGAACGTTACTATACGACGGCCAATTTATAAAATTTCTTTTTCTAATTTTGACGCTGTCTTACATATCCTATTTGGGATATTTCTGACCGTATAGACAAACTGCATGAATCTAAATTCTCGCGAGATTCGTAGGTTGAATATTAAGTCGTTTTTCAATGGACGATGCCTTTGGCGTTGTTGCCGTTGGTGCTTAAACTGCCTTTTGCTAGCGTCTGCGTGCACTTTCGACCATCTGTTTGTACGGTTGTCTAGCTTGTGTTTGGGCGTTTGTTTGCTTTGCACTCGTTTGTCTAAACATTTCTCTGCCGTTCATTCAGTCGTGCAGGGGAAATCGTCTCTTATTTAAACTCCAATTAAAGTTTCTAAATGTTAAAAACATACCGAGAGCCGAAGCTCCTTTGCTTTTAATCACAAATCAAAGAAGACATCCCCACAGCGTTGGAGGTTTTCCTTTGCTTTGAAACGAGGCGAAACGAAACGACATTAACAGATCCTCCACATAACTTGACATCCAACGCACGAGTGATATCCAAGGAAGAACTGGGTACAATGTCTAAAAATAACTAAGAGGGATTATCTTAGGTAGAAGGCCTATATAGGGGATTCACTCTCCTTCGCACGACTGGCTTCCTTTTATCCAACAATTCTCCACGTCCTTTATTCCCTGCAATAGTTTAATCATGCGGTGGAGAGCTCCACAGTATCAATACAAGAAATCACTCGACTCTTCCTTCAAGTGAGATCTTACTTCGCGTGTTTCCGTGTTTTCGGTTTCTGCTTTCCTTGAGCGCACACGATCGTGGATCACTGATACACACGTTCATGAATAACATCCAAGAAGCCATGGACGGCAGCTGCAGAGAACTCGTCGTTTGAATTCTTCAGAATCCTCTCTACGATCATTCGTTCTTGAGTTGATTTTCCTGGATGGAAGTTAGATAAAGGCTTCATCTAGGCAACTGAAAAGGCCGCGTTCCTGTAGGTTGGAATGTTACTTTTATATGATTCTTGTGCTAGAGTTAAAAACTTGCGACAAACTCCACTCAAAAACAACTGAAAATGTTGCTTTTGAGCATCAGACAATAACTCTTTAGCAAAGCGTTCGAACTCGCCATTAACGCGTAAGTCACTTAACAGAGTTGATCGCAGCTGCATTGCCACTTCCACGCTTCCTCTGAAGAGAGGATCCAGGACGTAAGCTCTTCCGTCTGCTCAGCATTTAACTTATCTTCTACCTTTCGCTTTTTTCTGGACGGCGCGGACTTGGTGGAAGACGCATTACCCTTCGATGTTTTTGCTGTTCTTGCTGGTCCTTTTCCTTTACCACGACTGTAACCTTGCTCCTCACTACTATTTCCACAAGATGTGCTTAATTCTGATGAAGAGATTACAACATCCCAGAACATCACAATACACATGGCGCAATAACTCGTTGAAAGTGCAATGCAGGCTAGATTACTGGCTGGTTTCAAAAGAATTGTCAGCGCTTGTGACAGATTCCGGAATCGTCACCTCAACAATATCAGATCATTCTGCAATAACTCTTCACCTGCAATCAAAAGAGTACGTTCAACGAGGTCCAGGTTTTTGGAAGATAAATAACTCTCTTTCAAGGAAAGGTTCGTACAGGATCTTTCGAGTAAGATACCGGAGTTCAAACAAAACATGATTATTTGGACGACAAAGGCCTATACTGGGAAATGATTAAAATGGAGGTGGGAGGTTTCTGTGTTCAATATACAAAACGAGAAGACAGGGAAGGCCGGAATACCGAAAAGCACCTCCAACAACAAATTGATCATTTGATGAACTACCTAAAGACTGACAGAGCAAAAGAAAACATATCAAAACTTTACCGTCTCAGAGCAGAATATAATGCGATTGCTGAATACA